AATAGATTGGCTAAGAGAGTGAGACCAGCTAAGAGATAATAACAAGAACAGTCCAAAATGAAGCAGAGATACGTGGCTCACCAAGAGGACAAGATAGCACAATTTAAATCTCATCTAATAGCATCTTAAACAAGAAAAGGGATTATGCACAAGTCAGACAAAGCACAAAAAATATTCAATCATTCACACTATCAGAAATGAGAGATATGAACAGTGACATATCAACATCAAAACATAACAAAAAAAATTTGGACTTGACTAGGCAACTACAAGCAAGATGACTAGTCAACACATAGAAGACCCCCCCGGAAGTGCTTTTCCTATCATCACTACAACCTGCCCAATCGGCATCACTATACCCAACAAGATTGACACAAGTGTCATAGGTATACCACAACCCAAACTCAATAGTCCCACTCACATATTTTATGATTCTCTTAACAGCAAACAAGTGAGACTCTTTTGGGTCACTTTGAAACCTAGCACACACACCAACACTAAAAGAAATGTCATGTCTACTAGCAGTCAAGTAGAGAAGACTTCTTATCGTGCTTCTATAGAGAGTTTGATCCACACTTTTGCCATGCAAGTCTCTATGAATCTTAGCACTAGTGCTCATTGGAGTTCTTGCAGATTTTGCTCCCTCCAAACCAAATTTTGTCACAAGATTTTTTGCATATTTAGATTGAGATACAAAGATCCCATCATGGCTTTGTTTAATTTGAAGACCTAAGAAATAGTTAAGCTCACCTACAAGACTCATTTCAAATTCACTAGTCATGACATGAATAAAATCTTGAACATGCAAATCAGAGGTAGAACCAACCACAATATCATCAACATACACTTGAGCAATCAAGACATCCTTTTTAAACCTTTTCACAAATTAAGTTTTATCAACGGACCCTCTAACATACCTATTTCCTAGAAGATGAGAGGATAACCTCTCATACCATGCTCTAGGAGCTTGTTTCAAATCATAGAGAGCCTTTTTTAACAGAAACACATCATTTGGATGATGTGGATCTTCAAAACCCTTTGGTTGCTCAACATATACCTCTTCATTTAGGACACCATTCAAGAAAGCAGTTTTGACATCCATTTGATAAAGTTTGAATTTCAAATGACAAGCAATGGCAAGAAGCAATCTAACTGATTCTAATCTTGCAACAGGGGCAAAAGTTTCATCAAAGTCAATGCCTTCCATTTGAGTGTATCCTTGAGCAACCAATCTAGCCTTGTTTCTTACCACATTACCTTGCTCATCGGTTTTATTTTTGAAAATCCACTTAGTGCCTATGACATTAGTGTTGACTGGTCTAGGAACAAGGTACCAAACATCATTTCTCACAAATTGATTTAATTCTTCCTGCATTGCAAGAAACCATTCACCATGGTGTAGGGCTTCTTTCACATTTCTAGGCTCTTCCTTGGAGACATAACACACATGGCTAATTTCTTGAGCAAGTTGCTTCCTAGTTCTCACTCCCTGATTAAGAGGGCTAATAATGACACTCTCAGTTTGAGTGAGAGGACTAAGATCAGTATGAGAGCTGGCAGCCTGGACAGATGAGATGGAACTAGAAGTTGAAGAGGTTGACAGGTCAACCGGGACAGAATTTCCAAAAGTTGACAGGTCAACCACAAGATCCAGACCTGGAAATTCTTGCTCAAGAGGAGGAGGAGGAAAAAGACCATCCTCAGCCAATACCATCTCTGTAGAGGCAGCAAAATCATCAATAGTGACGTTTATGGATTCAATGATGGTTCTGGACCTACAGTTGTACACTCTATAGGCTCGGCTTGAGGTGGAATACCCTAGAAATATTCCCTTATCACACTTAGAATCAAACTTAGCAAGATGCTCCCTATCTCTCAAAATATAGCATGTGCTACCAAAGACCCTAAAATATGACACATTAGGCTTCTTTCCTTTCCAAATCTCATAGGGAGTTTGTTTGGTACCAGACCTCACAAATACCCTGTTTGAGATGTAACAAGCTGTATTGACAGCTTCAGCCCAAAAGTGTTTAGCAAGATTTTTGCTATTTAGCATCACCCTTGCCATTTCTACAAGCACCCTATTCTTTCTCTCCACAACACCATTTTGCTGAGGTGTAATAGGTGCAGAGAACTCATGTTTAATTCCCATTTCTTCACAAAATTTCAAAAACTGAGAATTCTCAAATTCAGAGCCATGATCTGTTCTAACTAATTCTAACAAGAGGTAGTCATCTTCTCTTTTTGCAAAAGGTGACAAACAGACTTAAACCTTTGGAAGGTTTCAGATTTCTCACGTAAGAATGAGACCCAAGTGAACCTAGAGAAATCATCAACCATGACAAGAATATATTTCTTTCCACCAAGGGACATGGTTTGGATAGGACCAACAAGATCCATGTGAACAAGTTCTAGACTAACATTAGTTTGAATGTGTTTAACCTTTTTGTGTGACACTTTAACTTGTTTGCCTAATTGACATCCTTCATAAACATGCAGATCAGATTGTTCAAGCTTTGGTAGACCACTTACTAACTCTCTCTTGGACAATTTATGCAAGTCTCTAAAATTCACATGTCCAAGCCTTTGATGCCACAAAACACTTGTTTCATTTACAACCTTGTTGCAAACTACTTCTTTTGCATCATTGACACCATCAATACAGTAGCAATTGTCCCTAGACCTTGCCACGCTAACAATCTCATTGTCACCTTTTCCAATGATTTTGCAGCCATGCTTGGAGAATATAACCTCTACTATTCCATCGTCACACAGCTGACTCACACTAATGAGATTGGATGTGAGACCCTCAACAAATCTAACATTCTTAAGCTCGGGCAGACCAGGGATACAAACAGTACCTTTTCCAACAACTTGAGACCTATGACCTCCACCAAAAGTCACAGTGCCTCTATCAAAGGCGGTGAGAGATGAGAAAACATTTTTATCCCCAGACATATGTTTGGAACAACCACTATCAAAATACCAAGAGTTGGTGTTTGAAGCAGCAAAGGCATTTAGCACAACAAGAGATTTGGTATGACCTCTTGCAATCCAAGAAGACTTAGGCACAATGGGAGAACTCATTTTGAGGGAGACAAGTTTGGCTATCTTAGTAACTTCATTCATCAAATGATCAACTTGATCTTGCAAAGATCTGGGATTCCTTTTAGATTTTGAAGACAATTTTCTGGTCTTATCTTTGCTAAACATATGACAGACTGGTCGAATATGACCAGTCAACCCACACCTGTGACAAGTTGGAACAAACTTAGGTTTCTTGACAACCTGCTGAATATCAAGAGGTACAGTGACTGGAGTTTCTGATTTGACAAAATTAGTGGTAAAGCTAGACGAACTAGAACCAAAGTGATTAAATCCAAGGCCACCTTTGTCCCCATGAACTTTTCCCATATTCAACATTTTGTCAATTTTTGAAGCACCAATGGTCATAGATATAATCTTCCTATTTGCTTCATTCAATTCACCTAGGAGCTGTTTGTTTGAGTTCTGGAAACCAATGTTACTTTCCTTGAGCACATTAACTTGATTCTCAAGGTTACTCCTAATTGACACAAGAGCATCACTTTCTTTTTCTAGAGACTCAAATTTGTCACTTAACTCCTTTTTGGTTTCTTTTAGGATGAGAATTTCATGTTGAAGATCTTGGTTATTAACCTCAAGTTTGAGGCTCTCTTCTTTCAAACACAAGGTCTCTTTAAACAAACAATCATATTTTCTTCCTAATGACTCGTATGACAGGTCATCTGACTCGGAATCAGATTCATCAGACATGGGCTGCACAGAGGCAACAAAGGCAACATGTTGGTCATCAACATCAGAGGAAGATGAATCCTACTGAGACCCTTCACTTTCACTCTCACTCCAGCTCACTTTCATGGCCTTGTCCTTTCCTTTGGAGTATTTTTTCTGATTGTTTGCACAGTCAGCAGCATAGTGTCCAATGCCTCCACATGTGAAGCACTTGACAGATTTTCTGAAATCTTTCGTGAAAGGTTTGACATCCTTATTCCTCTCATTAGACCGATCAGTTGATGGTCTAAACAGTTTCTCACTACCAGAGCTGCCCTCTCTAGCAAACTTTCCGTTTTCCTTAAGAATTCTCCTAAATTTTTTGACAAACAAAGCCATCTCATCCTCAAAACCTGAGGATTTTTCACCAACTTTCATAGAGGAAACATGCACTCCTTGAAGTGCAACATTTTTTGATTTTTTGGAGTCATTTTCTTCCATATTCAATTCCATCTCATAGGTTTTCAGTTTTCCTACAAGCTTGCCAAGCTTAATTTCATTTAAATTTTGGACCTCCATGATTACGGTTTTCTTTGCTCTAAACCTAGATGGTAGAACACGAAGAATTTTCTGAACAACAAGAAGCTCTTCAATGGGTTGACCTAAACTCATGGCTTCATTTGTGATCATCTCAACTCTCCCATGGAACTCAGAAATAGACTCAGTTTCAGACATCCTAAGTTCTTCAAATTGTGCAAGCACCATCTGAAGTTTTAGGGTTCTAACTTGGTCATCCCCTTCATGAACCACCCTTAGTTTATCCCAAGCTTGTTTAGCATTAGGGATATGTTGTATATGTGCAAATTGTGTGCTAGACAAAGCAGTAACTAAGGCATTTCTGGCCTTCTTGTTCGAATATGCACCAAACACCTCAGCTTCAGTCCATTCTGACCTAGGTTTGGGCACATCCTCACCAAAAACAGTCTTGACCGGAGCAACCCACTCTTTTGTGAGATACTCACTTGCATACTCATCAAGAGCATCAAGAAATATCTCAAATTTTTCTCTCCATGCAGCGTAGTTATTACCGTCAAAATAGGGAGGGGAGTTGCAAGATCCAGCAACTCGATCCCTTTCCATAGTGAACACACCTAAACACCAAAACAAATCCTAGGATCTCTCTATTTGTGTTAAGAGCTGAAGCTCTGATACCAATTGAAATAGGTACTTAGGTGACAAATGGTAGATTTAATTACACAACCAAGACAAAACAACTCAGCAATCTTCACACACTTTAAACCTTGACCAAATACACATATGACTAGTCAACTGCTAGTCATGAACAATCACAATCAAGAGAACACACAGATCAT